ATGGCACGAATCAGACCAGGGGTTCAAAAGTTAAGGGAAAGTCCTTTGTGACTAAATGAAGCATGGCTTTCTGGCCCAAACCAGTTTCAGAGTCTTCTATCCTGGAGAGTAATTCAATTATCTCCCAGGATAGACACAAGACTCCATTAAGCACATGGTTGCAAAAAGACACAAAACACTTTAAAATACATAAAGTCACCTTTTACACATAACACACAGACATTTCACATATCCCCAGATAGCTGGGATCTGAGCGCACAAAACTACCGAATAGCGCTCAGATCCTATTCACACAGTTCAATTGCCATGGAGCCGAAGTCTTTAACTACACGAATGGGCTCCATGGCATAGCTATCTGGGTTAACACATTCACATAAAGTCTGGTCCATAGTCCAAAGGCAAGAGGCGGGCAAGCAGCCCCCTCCAAGGACATGTGGCTAGGCCGGTTTCGCCACATTTCTCCCCTTTACCATCCAGACTAACAGGGTATCTGACCTACTGCCGGTCAGTGCCCTGGTTAGTCCAGCAACCCACCCACGAAGCACAAACAGCAATACAGCCCACCCACAATAACTGGTTACTACACCTGGATAAAATAGCAACTTGTCCATGTCCAGGTGCCTCACCACGGCTGTGCGGGGGGCTGGTAGACTGCCTTGGTGGGTTGCTGAGTGGGCAGAGACCAGCGGTACTCTGCCCGGGTGCCAGTGCCACCACTGAAGTAGCCTGGTTGGAGCCTGGTTGTGGGAGGGGGAGACCGACTGTCTCCCCTCTGGATACACTGCTCTGTGGCTGGGGGACAGGACCGACCGTCCCTACCCCTGGTGCTGCAAGTGCAGAGACTACGGTCCCATCTGCATAGTTGTGAGGCTTAACATCTCCCCTTGGTGGGTTAGGCTGCCGCTGGAGAGAGGGTGTAACAAGCTCCTCTCTCTGAACTGTAGACTGCCGCTGGTTAGAGGGGGTATCAGGCTCCTCTCCCTGACACTCTCTCTGCTGGTGAAGAGGGGGACCAGCTGTCTCCCCTTTCATTATTTTGTCCTGTGGTTGGGGTGCGAGACTGACGGTCTCTGCTCCCTGCAGGACACTCTGCCGCTGGGGAGGAAGGACGGCACCTTCAGCCCCCTGGGGTACACACTGCCGCTGGGGAGGAAGGACTGCACCTTCAGCTCCCTGGGATACACACTGCCGCTGGGGAGGAAGGACGGCACCTTCAGCTCCCTGGGGTACACACTGCTGCTGGGGAGGAAGGACTGCACCTTCAGCTCCCTGGGATATACACTGCCGCTGGGGAGGAAGGACGGCACCTTCAGCTCCCTGGGGTACACACTGCCGCTGGGGAGGAAGGATTGCACCTTCAGCTCCCTGGGATACACACTGCCGCTGGGGAGGAAGGATTGCACCTTCAGCTCCCTGGGGTACACACTGCCGCTGGGGAGGAAGGACTGCACCTTCAGCTCCCTGGGGTACACACTGCCGCTGGGGAGGAAGGACTGCACCTTCAGCTCCCTGGGATACATACTGCCGCTGGAGATCTGGGCCGACCGCCCAGCATCCCTGTAGGGCCGGTAGAGAGACCACCGTCCCATCTCCACCTGCCATCTGTGGGTCTTCCCAGGACCAGTCTGTGAGGTCCCTCAACATTTGCGAGTAAGGACCACCTGCTTCCGCACCTGGCAACTCCGGCTGCTGCTGGGGATCTGGGCCGGTCCCATCTCCACCTGCCTGTTGTGGTTCCTCACAGGACCAGTCTATGAGGACCCCTATTTCGGGTTCCTGCGGCCGCCTCAGGGGGAGACGGCTAGCCTCCTCGGATGCAGCCTCTACTCGGCTGCTGTAACACTCCTTCCGCTGAGCATACTCTCTCTCCTTCGCCAGCCGGAATTCTCGGGCCAGCCTTGTGTTTCGCTCGGCCGTGACCTGGTTCCAGATCACCCGGCGTACCTCCATGGGTAAATCATCCCCATACTGGGCCACTCGCTGCCTCACCTCGGCCATCCAATCATCGCCAGAGCCTTCCATACTTGTCTGCTTCAAGTCGCTGGATACCTCTGCTCCCAGGGGCGCTGCACGTGTGCTAGCGTTGCCCTCAATTTGTAACTCCAAACGAACTGTGTCTCTGAGCTGCTTTACCTCGCACTAGGACGCCATCCCACCGCTTGCCACCAATGTAACGGATCGCCTGGCACCCCGACTGGGTACCTCCGTTGAAGGATGCTCCTAGCGCTTCCTGAGGACTCCAAGCACTGCAGCAGACACCACAATCACCGAACCAGAGAAGCGTATACCTTCTCTCAAGCATAAGAATGCTGTAGACAGTTGAATAGGAACCATACGAATAGGTTTACTCCCCTAGCAGTCAAACTGGAACAGCATACAATAAATCCTTCCCCCAATAATGAGACGACACTTCACTTTGAGGGTTAAAACAGGAACTCCCTGTACTGTCACATACAGTCTCTTTTATTCCCAATCCCCAAACATAGTACAGCCCACAGGGCGTTACAAAACAACCAATCAATCCGTACATACACCCAGACAATCCCACACAAAATCCTCCCCTCTGCAGGTGATATGATTACTGAACACAATGGGTAATCTCATTATCACCGGCAGAGGAATACAGTTTTTACACAATATTTCTAACTTCTAAAATATACATGTCACAAACATAAAACATACATTTTCATAATCAATCCATTCAGGGCAACAACATATTAAAAAAATGGCAAGAATCAGACCAGGGGTTCAAAAGTTAAGGGAAAGTCCTTTGTGACTAAATGAAGCATGGCTTTCTGGCCCAAACCAGTTTCAGAGTCTTCTATCCTGGAGAGTAATTCAATTACCTCCCAGGACAGACACAAGACTCCATTAAGCACATGGTTGCAAAAAGACACAAAACACTTAAAAATACATAAAGTCACATTTACACATAACACACAGACATTTCACATATCCCCAGATAGCTGGGATCTGAGTGCACATTATTAGATGAATGGCACTCAGATCCTATTCACACAGTTCAATTGCCATGGAGCCGAAGTCTTTAACTACACGAATGGGCTCCATGGCATAGCTATCTGGGTTAATAACTTCACATAAAGTCTGGTCCATAGTCCAAAGGCAAGAGGCGGGCAAGCAGCCCCCTCCAAGGACACGTGGCGAGGCCGGTTTCGCCACAGTCTCGTCACACATTTGTTAAGACATTTACCCCTGATTATATCTAAGGGGATTATTCACTAAGCGCTGACAACACAATATCTTACAATTTATTCATTGAATTTGGGAAGTTCATTTTTGTTTAGCAGCTATTATCTAGAGGTACTTTGTACCATTCTCTTATAAGTATTATTGTATATCTTTTTTGTGCGCTCTCTTTCACCCTTTTATAACTTTGTTGATTAACCATGTCTTTTCCAGGTTCGGTCTGCCTCAAAGAATTGAGTCAGACAGAGGTAGTCATTTTACCAGCGAAGTAATGGCTAAGATGTGGAAAATGCTAGGTGTTAAACGAAAGCTACATATTGCATACCGTGCTGCATCTAGCGGTGGGGTAGAGCGATATAACCAGTCTATCGTTAATATTCTGAAGAAGTATGTTAAGGAGTCTGGTAAAGACTGGGACATTAAATTGCCCCTAGTTTTAATGGTGATTAGAGCTACACCTAGCACTGCTACCAAATTGTCACCTTTTGAATTGATGACAGGAAGAAAGATGGTTTTACCACAGCATTTACTATATCGTACTTCGGATCATTACTTGATCAATGCTGCCACTACGCATCAGTATATCGAAGATTTGCGCAAGCATTTACAGCATGCGTTTGCTTTTGCCCAAAAGAATCTAGAAAAAGCAGCGACAGGGGTTAAGACCTATTACGATTTAAAAACCACGAAAAAGGAATATGAGATCACAAATCAAGTCTATCTGTATAACTTTGAGCGAAATGAAGTTAAGGAAGATAAAATTTTACCTTCTTGGAAAGGGCCATATGTCATCATTGACAAAATTTCCCCTGTAGCGTATAAGATAAAAATTCCTAAGGATGGTGATTTTATTGAAAAGTGGGTTCACATTAACCAGTTGCGTGCTTGTCATCCTAAATCTCAATTAACGATTATAGGTGTGGATTCGGACGCAGAAGGGTGAACGACTAACCTGGATGAATGCTTGATTCACGTGGTATTGTATGATGTGAAATGTTGTGATGTGCCATGATCTCATGTACGTTCATGTCATTAACCATTTCCTTGCCATCCAATAACTACATTTTATAAGCAGGTTACTAGCTTGTTTAGCTGCTATAGGCGAATTACTGAAGAGTCAGTAATAAATGTAATGAGTGATGAAGTTATTAAAATATAATTAGATAGAGGTCCCTGAACCCCACACTACCGCACGGCAAACACCAAGCCAACAGACCACACCACGACACAGCAGCGCCCTCACAAAACCTTGAGACACAAAGACACATGTGTGGAAATTACTGCGCACCTGTACTATTTTGGCTGTACCACCCCCACCCTATTTCAATTCTGTACCCTAATGTTTTTTTACCGCACTGAAAAACAACAAATAAAGAATGTTTAAAAAATATATATATAATTAGACAGAATACATATGTTGATGAATCGTAATAATGCGTTGTCCTAGGCCAAGTGATGTCACACTGTTATACGTTTGTATGCTTAACAAACCTTGAATCATTAGTAGATAAGTCTGAAACGAGTTCCTAATCCGTGACTGTCGAAAGATTTCCAAGAAGGATGTGGCGTGTTTCTGGATCGTATTGCTCCTGTGCCAAGAGCTACGGACTGACCCGATCGCAGAGATGGGACCATCCTCCGGCATCCTGATTCAAGAGACACCAGGGTTCATCTTGACAGAGAGGAGGATCCTGACCCGACGTGTGTTCGTCAACTTGGACCCCAAGATTTCCATCGAGAAGGCATACAACATTTAATTGATGCAGCTTCCTGAGTTACAGACTTGGTACCAGATGCACCTCCAAAGAGCACAGGACCGTGTGCGAAACATCTTGGAGCAAGCCCGGAAACCATTTGTATCCAGTACTATTTCAATGAGCAACCGGCCCAAAAGGTTCCTCACTGCCATAATTGTTGCATTAGTTTGTGCCACTGTCGGTGCAGTTGTCGCAACTGGAATGTCTGCAGCCAACTCTATTACTGTCCAAAAGCTGGATATGGAAATCCATGCGCTAAAGCAACACATTAACGATATTCATCAGGTGATAAACCAGCAAAGAACACTTCTCCAAGACATGATAACTATCGTGGAAGACACAGTTGTTACAACAAATTTGCATTCGGAGTTAATTGCCAAATCCACTGAGTTGCACCAAAGTCATGACTTATTTAAGCGTGAACTTCTATTTCTGCATGACCCAATATTGTTCCACACGCTTGCTTTTCTTGACAAAGTACAAACTGGAATGATTGAACTGGTAGGGGGATGCATATCTCTGTGTTTTGTATCCAAGGATATTGTTCATGCGATGCTTGCCAATGTGGATGGAGAGACAATTGAGCCTATGCAATTAAATCTGGCCTTTGAGATGGGGAGTGCTATACCTCTCTTAATTGATCCAGAAAGCACAGAGATTTGCTTTTTATTTGCCCTTACCATATGTAACTCCCAAAAACATTTTTCAAATGAAAACAATTTACAATGTCGGTACATGGAAGGAAAATATCCATCGGTACATGGAAGGAAAATATCCAAACCCCAGATGTTTTGGCTTTTCAACCGTTGGTACCAGATTGGTATTCAATACCCATTTTGAATGACTGTGAGAAATTCAAAGACAATAATTTCCAATGTGATGGAAAACCTTTTGTGTACGATTCTACTAATGCTTTGTGTGGGATCGAGTACCTTAAACATGGCTCTGAAACATGTCAAGTAACTATGTCAAAAACCGACAGTAATGTGTTAGTACATGCTATCTTAGTAAAAGATAAATGATTGGTAAGCACGTGTCTTCAAAACATGAGTGTTTTTCGCAGGGACCAGGTGACTAATAAAGTAATTGCCTTACCAGCACCTGTCTCACTGATCAAGGTACCCCACGACTCTCGTATCACCATTGGTGACGTTACGCTATACCCGGTGTACACTGACATCATCGAAAGTGCTTTTGAGATGGTGGATCCCTTCTAGAATCTAGATATCCCTCTAGATCCTAATCTAAAGTTCTTGCTGAACCATAAGCCCAACCACACTATCCAAATGTCAATCAGAAAAGATAACATTTTTGTGGACACATTTAAGTACTCTGAGTTAGATACTGACTGACCTTATTGCTCGTGTTGAGGGTTGTGCTATGATAATAATAATATTGTGGTTGATTGTACTAAGTGTAAAGTTCAAAGCTCTTACAGGTACAAAAATATACAAAAATGTTCATTCCATGCACAGGCCTATGTCAGCAGAAATGATGTGAGTGCACAATATGTCTTGTAACTTCTATAGTGCTTATTCATAGTCTAAAGTAATCATTGCTATGAGAATCACTAAGGGGGGTTATGTCAGGATATTTATATTGGCAGACATTTTGTGCTAAGATAGAAATTAAAAGTGTATATTGCCAGAGTCACTCAGAACAGAGCAGATTCCATTTTGGATTTCAGGCAAGACAGACACAACATTTCTTTCCTCTTTGTAACTAGCCATTAGCCTGAGCTAAGGAATGCATTATGTAAACAACCCAAATAAGCAATGAAGCAAGGGGATGGAATGCTCTGTTTAAATGTTAATGGAATAGAAATAATTTTAAACACAGACACCAGTGACAGAGAAGACCAAGTAATTAATTTTACTCTCTAAATTTTACAAGGTCCCATTGTAAGTAAGGGCTGAAATTGAGTTTAGAACTGTCAATTTTAGAAATTACGATCAAAGTCGTTGCCACAAAGAGGCAAACGCTTTGAACTGACAGCAAATTTAAGTTATGGTAGTCATTTTAGATAAGCCAAATGACGTCAAAATCGGCATCAGGAAAAGTTAACTTTTTCCTGGATAGGAAGGTTTAATGAGGCGAGACTGCCCTCTATGGATCAAATTTCTAAATTGCGATCTGCAGGTTGACCACACCTACAGTTTCCTATTGGCCTTATCAACTAATGACGTACAGCGAGTCTGGTCCTTTAAAAGTTAGGACAAAGGGAAGAGAGAAGGTTAGTTTGGGCATTCAGATTCGGACAGTCAGAGAGATCCAGGACACTCTGGGACTAACATTCAACTCAAACTCTCTTGGACAGAGCTCAAGAAACACTCCTTGACACTTAGAATTTTACTAATAATTTCTAACCAACATCACTTTTCACTATTACTTACACACCTCCATACAACCAATCATACTCGCATTCAAGTTCCTGGGACTACCTACTCATCTGATGAGAACATCTACATAACTGGTAATTATGCTGGTTTTATTTAATTTAAATTAATAAAAAATTTACTAATAGCATGATATATGACTGGATAAATCACGGTCAGATTTCAATAATTGAGAAATCTTAGTTAACTAAAGAATATATAGTTATAACACTCCATTCTGCAGGTGGAGTCAGATAATTACATAGTACTGGTATTTTACCACGTGTTCGCATACCGCTGTTTTTATCCATGTGTGTTGATTTGCTCTAAAATAAGATCGTATATCTTAGCTAGAGTTAAATTCGGCTTTTGTAAAAATCTGGTAGATTATTCTTATTGGATGGTTCCAGGAAATGATTAATGAGCTGGTTTGAATGTTATTTTAATTGAAAATTACATGAGAATAGGATATTATATGCCTAGGAGGATCTAGCCAGCATTGAAAGGGTTATTCAGTTGATCTAACTGTTAACCAAGGTTTTATGGCTTTCTGTGTCTGTGAAGTACCCTCATAAATCTTGTAAGTTTTGACAGTTGATGCTGTTAGCCATTGGATTGTTTTAATATTACCATTGTATTTCTTACTTATGTTATACTAAATATTCACTGATTATTATCATGCATGCTACCTAATATTTTATTTGTCACAATAAATTATATCTATTTTTATAACAAATTGTGATTTTATTTGTATGAAATAAATTTCACTTACATGATAACGATCTCTAAGATCTATGAGAATTGAAATAGTGGGCAATTCTCAACTGTATAAAATCATCCCATAAATATCCCCATAAAAATAAATAAAGCCAGGATCAATTAAAGTACTAAAAAGTCACATTATCAATAGATGCCACTGCTTGGTTTTAAATCCACATTCATTCTCAAATTGCAGGATATATCAACTGTACATGATAAAAAAAAATTTATATTTTAGAAAATAAACAAATTGAGCAGATTAGTATATAGCGGTTAAGCATTTTATTTATTTTTTTCAGATTACATTCTAGTAAATTGATACAATATAACATCCAAATTATTAATAAATGCAAATGACATTTTATTGCTAATTTCATTTTAATTTATGAACTACAATATGGCTACTTTAATGTATGTGTATTTTTAATTTCCCACAATATCTATGTGTCCACCTAGCCAATTGTGTATTGCAGCTTTTAGCAATGGGGCAATAAGCTGGTTTATGTTGACGCTGAGGAAGAAAACAGCAGATAAGAGTAACATTTAATAATAATAAAATAAAAAAAGTAGCGTGTATGTTTAGTTGCATAATCTAAAAATAGAATTTTATTATCTTAAGTGGACAATGTCAGTTATACGTTTTGTGGATGGCTTGCCGAGTTTATACATATTTCTAAATATATTTTATATGGAAAGGTTTTAGACGAAAGGTTCACATTAAATGGCATCATTCACCCAAACAGTATTTGAGACACATATGTAGTATATGAAGAAGAAACAGAAAACTGTTACACTGTTCAAAGTTTAAAACAAAACAAAAAAAGCTTATAATATTTTTTTTTGTTCTGGCTTGACACTGACATATAAAGGTCAACATATGCAAATAATTTATGCTGCTAGAAGTCCAAAGTAACCCATATTGTAGCGATGACAGCATACAAGTAACTCTGAGTGTTAATGACTTTCATTGCAGGTTCAACGGCGTTGTAAAGGATTTGCCACCTTGTCCACGATGTATACATTTTTACGTCTGTGAAGACTTCAGGGGCAACAATTGGGCTGGGAAGATTTTTGCCACAGGACTTTCCAAAGCTTGATATTCCTACCTGAAAGTATTTGCTTTTGTCTGCAACGAGGCACACAAGGGGTCCACCACCATCTCCCTAAAATACATTGAATACATTTTAATGTTTAAACTTTAAAGTTTCATATACAGGGAGTGCAGAATTATTAGGCAAGTTGTATTTTTGAGGATTAATTTTATTATTGAACAACAACCATGTTCTCAATGAACCCAAAAAACTCATTAATATCAAAGCTGAATATTTTTGGAAGTAGTTTTTAGTTTGTTTTTAGTTTTAGCTATGTTAGGGGGATATCTGTGTGTGCAGGTGACTATTACTGTGCATAATTATTAGGCAACTTAACAAAAAACAAATATATACCCACTTCAATTATTTATTATTACCAGTGAAACCAATATAACATCTCAACATTCACAAATATACATTTCTGACATTCAAAAACAAAACAAAAACAAATCAGTGACCAATATAGCCACCTTTCTTTGCAAGGACACTCAAAAGCCTGCCATCCATGGATTCTGTCAGTGTTTTGACCTGTTCACCATCAACATTGCGTGCAGCAGCAACCACAGCCTCCCAGACACTGTTCAGAGAGGTGTACTGTTTTCCCTCCTTGTAAATCTTACATTTGATGATGGACCACGAGTTCTCAATGGGGTTCAGATCAGGTGAACAAGGAGGCCATGTCATTAGATTTTCTTCTTTTATACCCTTTCTTGCCAGCCACGCTGTGGAGTACTTGGACGCGTGTGATGGAGCATTGTCCTGCATGAAAATCATGTTTTCTTGAAGGATGCAGACTTCTTCCTGTACCACTGCTTGAAGAAGGTGTCTTCCAGGAACTGGCAGTAGGACTGGGAGTTGAGCTTGACTCCATCCTCAACCCGAAAAGGCCCCACAAGCTCATCTTTGATGATACCAGCCCAAACCAGTACTCCACCTCCACCTTGCTGGCGTCTGAGTCGGACTGGAGCTCTCTGCCCTTTACCAATCCAGCCACGGGCCCATCCATCTGGCCCATCAAGACTCACTCTCATTTCATCAGTCCATAAAACCTTAGAAAAATCAGTCTTGAGATATTTCTTGGCCCAGTCTTGACGTTTCAGCTTGTGTGTCTTGTTCAGTGGTGGTCGTCTTTCAGCCTTTCTTACCTTGGCCATGTCTCTGAGTATTGCACACCTTGTGCTTTTGGGCACTCCAGTGATGTTGCAGCTCTGAAATATGGCCAAACTGGTGGCAAGTGGCATCGTGGCAGCTGCACGCTTGACTTTTCTCAGTTCAT